ATTTGTTTAATGATATTTAATTCTTTTGTGAAGTTCTCTTTGGTAAGGGGAATATTAACTAATCTATGGATCATACTGTTGTATGCAGCCAGCTTTTGTTTGTATGGATGAGATGAACTATTATTTATTGTAATATCCGTATGTGATGGCTTATGAAATATCCCAAAACTATGGCCTTTATTATTTTTAATAATATTTAAGTCTAAAAAATTAATTGAATTATCCTTCTCTGTTTCCTTAGTAAATTTAATATTAGGGTGTATAGTGTTGATAAAAACTAATAAAGAATTTAACTGTCTACTAGTACCAGTAAAAGCAGTCAATATATCATCAACATATCTATGCCAATACAGACAATGTTTACTCAAATTATTGCTATGAATTTTATTTTCTATATTATCCATAAATATTTCTGCAAGCAACGGGCTTAATGGGTTCCCCATAATAAGACCTTCATTTGCTGAGTAGATGTTATGGATAATATAGAAAATAAAATTCATAGCGATAATTTAAGTAAACATTGTATTGGCATAGATATGTTGATGATATATTGACTGCTTTTACTGGTACTAGTAGACAGTTAAATTCTTTATTAGTTTTTATCAACACTATACACCCTAATATTAAATTTACTATGGAAACAGAGAAGGATAATTCAATTAATTTTTTAGACTTAAATATTATTAAAAATAATAAAGGCCATAGTTTTGGGATATTTCATAAGCCATCACATACGGATATTACAATAAATAATAGTTCATCTCATCCATACAAACAAAAGCTGGCTGCATACAACAGTATGATCCATAGATTAGTTAATATTCCCCTTACCAAAGAGAACTTCACAAAAGAATTAAATATCATTAAACAAATCGCAGTAAATAATAATTTTAATTCAAAGTTAGTAGACAACATTTTAGAGAAAAAACTTTTTAAACAGGCTATTCAACAAGTTTATCCCATAATTAAAGATCCAAACTGCAGATATAAGAGTCTTACATATATAGGAGCTCCTAGTGAAAAGGTATCATCATATTTAAAAAACCAAAATATTAACGTAGCTTTTAAAACCAATAATACGCTTGGGAAGTATATTAAAAACAATAAGGGTAAAATTAATCCTAATAATAAATCGGAGGTATATAAATTAAATTGTGGTAGTTGTCCAAAATTGTATATTGGTCAAACAGGCCGTACTTTCAAAAAACGCTATTCCGAACATTATAATAGCTATACAAAAAACAAAAATAATTCTACTTACTCAAATCATATTTTAGCTGAAAATCATTCTTTTACAGACAACTTTGAAATTTTACATGTAGAAAATAAGAGCCTTAAATTAAACCATTTAGAAACACTTGAAATAAATAGATTTAAAAATTCAGATAACTTACTAAATGATCAATTAGATATTAATAATTCACCCTTATTAAATCTCTTTCCCAGTTTTCTGTGAGATAATCCCGGTAATGGACTATCTTATTGTTATCTGATGGATATTATAATTACCTAAGTACCCTTATTTACTTTAAATAGTTAGTTTATTTTGTAATGTTATTGATGTTTTCTTAAGTACTTTGTTTTGTTAAATTATTTCGTATATATATTGGATACCGAATTGTAAATAGTCACATTTGAAAAAGAAGTTGTACTTCGAAACATATGTCATGTGTAAGTGTTTTTTTAAAAATTTTTATTTTTAAAATAAAAGTGTGAAAATCTACCAAATTTGGTTTTGCTCTTTCAAAATTAAACAAATAGGTATACGAAAATTACTAACTAACTAACTAACTACTTAAGAATAATAAAAATATAAAAACTTAATTAAAAACTTTTCGGGCTTTCTGTAAGGCAAAATTTGATAGGTAGGTATCAAAAGAAATCGACTCGGTTACTGTTCTTTCTATAGCAATTATAGGGCTATGTGGCCTAATTTTTCCTCTGACATTGTTGATCGATCTTAAATAACTTTCAATAAGCTTTAATTTGGAAAAAGAACGTTCACAAGTTGCGCTTGTAACGGGTAAGGTTAAATAAATTTAAATTGAAATGAAAAAGATTGGATATTCAGAGAGTAAGTCCAATTTAATTAAGTTTTGGTATATTTCAAATATCGAAAGTTTTTCCAAATCAAAAAGTTCTTTGGCTTGAAATGTAAAGCTTTCTGCCTCTTGGACAAATTCAACTACATCCAAATCGTTGGGATATTTCAAGCATAAACCCTTAATATGTGCTTTTAAAATACTAATATCTATTTTGGAAAACGATGCCTCATCTAGGAATTCAAAATCAATCAATTACCAGCTCCAGATAATCTATTGCAAGTGAAGTTGCTTGTGGATGCAGGAAAAGTGGTTTATACTGTAGTATAGCTTGTTCACAGTGCAGTGAAAATAGTTATTTTAATGCTACACCTCTTATTCAAATAAATGAAGAAAATATTTAATATTTATAAAAATGTCAATTTTTTTAAATAAAAAAACTTATTAAAGTCTATTCAGATTTCATTTACGCCGCGTCAAAACAATTTCTCCCGTCCAGCTACAGCTCACGTGACATTTTTTTGCGCTTCTATTGGTTAATCGGTCGTTAGTCATTTAGACGACACGCAAATATTTTTTGTCAGAGTCGAATTCAGTTCAATTTGGATAATTATAAACGGCGTTTTGGTAGCATTCACCGTGTTGGTTGGTTTGGACATTTTGTATATTTGATTGATTATAATTCATTATATTATATTATATTATTTACTCCTTCTAAAAAGCGACTGAAAAAGGGACATTTGGTCATCCGTACTAAAGAAATGGTTCTTAATATTTATAAGCATTAAATTTTATAGAACCCTGATATGTTGGTACATGATGTTGAAAGGAGAGTTGCTGATAAAACAGGGATGTGCGCTAAAACCGTTTTTAATGTTATAAAGGAGTATAGGCAGATTCATAAATTTTCTGAACCAAAAAGAAAGCTACGTTATAAACAAATTAGTGGCTCTGTGGATGATTTTGATAAAAATGCAATAAGGCGCAAAGTACATCAATTCTTCTTTAGAAATTAACTTCCAACAATTGATAAGGTTTTATAAGAAGTCAACGATGATCCATATTTGTCTACTTTTAAGCGAGCTACATTTTACAAGCTTTTCAAAACCCTTAATTTTAAATTTAAAACTCGAGGAAAAAATAGTTTGCTTTTAGACAAAAATGAAATTGTTTCGTCCTACGCCACAAAAAATAAAACGGTACAGAGAATAAAACCAAAAAATATATTATCTTGATGAGACTTGGATTAACGCAGGCCACACCAAATCAAAAGTATGTTTGGATATGTCGGTTTTTTCATCCAGAAGAGCCTTTTTGGATGAACTTTTAACTGGTTTTAAAAACCCATCAGGTATGTGCGTAAAAACAGCTCATTATATGCCATATTGGAAGTGAAGAAGGCTTTGTCTCTAATGCACTTTATGTATTTGAGTTGAAAAATCCGGTGACTACCACGAAGAAATGTGTGGAAAATCGTTCAAAGAGTGGTTTTCAAACACCCTACCAAAATTAGAAGATAACTACTGCATTATTATTCGAGAAAGCTGAAAAAAATATCTACGACGTCTAAAAAAGGTGATAATTAAAAATGGCTATAAGGGAAAAAACTTAAATTCGACTACCAAATGCTTAAGATCCAACTTCCAAAACTTGGTAAGCAACATAAACATTATGATAGGTATGTAATAGATGAAATGGCTAAGCAGCAAAACAACATAATACTTCACATGTCTCCGTATCATTGTGAACTTAACCCTATTGAATTAATCTAGGTTGACGTTAAACTATACGTAGCAGATAAAAACTCAACATTTAAATCTGGAGACATTAAAATTCTTTTTGAAGAAGTAATATTATTAATTTCTCCAGAAAAATGGAAAAAGTGTATCGACCATGTTCGCCAAAAAGTTGAAGTAAAAATTTGGGAGTTGGATAATATTATAGAGGTTCAGGTAGAACCACTTGTAATTTTGATTAATGAAGATAACCTTTCAAGTTTAACTAATTTATCCGATTCAGAATAGTGCTAAGTCAAGTAAGGAAGATTGCTATAATACAGGTACAAGTTGTCTAATCTAAATACTAGTAGAACAAGAACAATAAAGAACAAAAGTTATCAAAAATACAAAAGGTTTCTTTTTAAGATGCACAATTTTAAATCAAATACCAAATTCAAATACCAAATACCTCTTATATTTAAAGTTTTTTTAATGCTTTTAGTAGATATATATTAGCTATTAAAGAATTTGCAATTATTTGGACTCCCTGTGCAATATAATTTTATAATATGATTGTTTTAATGCTCTGTATCACAGTAGACATATGTAATGAACTAAATATAATGCAACCATCTCTTTTAAAGTCAAATACATTTATTAATTTGTATTGCAGGTTAACGCAGTTTATGTCGCTCACCTATCTTCGTCCAGAAATGTCACTAAAGTCTGGGAGACCGTGTATGGCATTTATTTTATAGTTTTACTTTACAAAATATGTTTTTATCGTAATAAAAAAATAATTTCACAATTACACTCTTTTATTTTACATTTTTGCAAGACGGAAAAGTAAAATCCGTCCCTGTTCAATTTTAGCGTCCACCTGCTTCTGTTTACATCAGGCGTAAATTAAATTTGAATAGACTTTAGTAATTTTCTTTTTTAATTTAATTTTCTTTCATTTTTTTTTTTTTTTTTCGATTACTGTCCGAATTAATGTAATTATCATTTATTTTTTTAATCAAAATCACAATTATTAAATTAGTAAATTTATTTTATATATAGCAGCAAAATATTTAATTTTAAATTATTAAATTTTATTCACTGCACCTTAAGTTCTTAAGTTTTTATGTTTTTAACGCCCCAGACGTTCCACTAAAAGTATTCTAAGATAATAGCCTATTTTTACTATCAATCAATATATTTAAAAACATTTTAAAAAGGCTAAAAAATGGTAACTCACTTATTAAAAAACGTCTCCAAAAGCTGCGCAGAATGCGGCAGCCCTTCGACCAGTAAATCCAAAGGTAACTCGCCCGCGACTACCGCTATAGTATTAGGCCCTAATTTTTGTAGCACAGCGGCGGCCTCCCTAAATTGTCGCCCTTCCGCCAAAACCATCACTCGCCTCAAAATGAGGCGCGGGCTCGTCGGGGTGGCCCGCTCGCGTCGAAAACGATCACCACTGTCGCGCATCCTCGCACAACGAACGTCTTCACGTGAATAATGAGGAAGAAAATTAAGAAGACGCGATCAGGTGCTTAGTGCTTCGCCAGCCGATGAAGCACGCCAAGAATCGAGAAGAGACCAAGTTCAATAGCGGCGAGGGCAGGGCCGAATTCTCACTTTTCCTCTTACTTTTGTGTTGAAGACAAAACTTTTAATGATGTATTGTTTTTTTCACACCTCTTTATCTATTAATATGGACAAAAGTCAACATATAATTCATCGATTAAATTCTTCGTGATAACACATAAATTCGATTAAATGGCCTATGAAAGGGTTTTTAGATGATTAAAAAACGGTTTACAAGCAAATTAACACTCTCCTTGTAACCACGCTTGTGCTCTGTTAAAATGTTACAAAGAAATAAAAAAAAGACCTCTACAGAGTAGAAAATATGATATAAAAAGCAATTTCGGTAAGTTATAAACCACAGTACTACAAAATTTTGGTTTTTTATGTTTCCATTTTATTTTTAATTAATTATCTATGCTATGCACAGACTACAAAACGAATAAGTAGGCCATATCAGTCAGTTTACTGAATTAATATAATATACAGGGTCTTCAACAACACCCGTATCCCACGTGATCTGGTAACATTACAGAACGAGTCAAAAGTGCCTGATTTTAGGACTTTTCTTTTGCATCGAAAGTGTAGCCTTGTGCTACACCACTTCTAAATATATCGTTCCATTTATACAAATTGTATGGATGGAACAACATTTTCAGAAGTGGTGTAGCTCAGTGCTATACTTTCGATGCAAAGGAAATGACCTATTAGTTATTTTTACGTCAACTGAATTGACTTCTATCAAAAATGTCACTGACTTTCATTTGGAGATTGACGATGTTTATATAATTAATTAGGCATTCCAACGACCTCTCAAACTGCTGACAAGTGGAAACTGACATTTAGATATGGCAACCCTGTGAGCCTGGTATTATTGACAGGATCAATGATACATATACGAGTATATAGATTACTCAAAACGGGTCGTTTACGAGTGGCCACATTGCCTTGCAAGTGCTCATTATTCAAAATTGATTTTGCAAAAATGTGTTTACAAACCAATATTTAACATTTGAATATAAAAAAATAATTACCGACATTTTTACTTCAAGCTTATGTTCATTTTGACAAGTATTAGAAATTAAAAATTTAAAAAAACCGACTTCAAAAACGTGCAGATACCATCACCACATCTTAACCAATTTATATAGGACCGCCCCTGAGGTACCCCTTTACTAACAAAAAAAGAATCATATAAATCGGACAAGGTGGTAAAGCATTAACGCTAAACTTACATAAAAAATGAAGAGTTTGAGGATCTTCTCATGGACTCAATTATTAGGTTTTGACCAAATTTATATGAGACCACCCCTGAAGTACCCCCTTTCTAACAAAAAAATAATCATTGAAATCGGACACCGTGTTAAAGAATTATCGCTGAACATACATAAAAAAAAAATATTGCAATTTTTTGAAGTCGTTTAAAAAATATGGATGATCAATCTTTGTAACTATCTATTTCATTGAATTTATTAAATCGCTGTTCCAGAAGAACAATGACGTAACTGCAAAATTAGGGTAATTGTAGTTAACTATTTCACTGTTCTCAAAAATACGTAACACATATAGGAGAACAACGACGTATTTGTAGTTTCTTCAATGGCCGTTAGAGCAAGTTGCGTCGTTATCGAAATATCAGCTGTTTGTGACATAATTTCAGAAGAACATGATACTGTTCTGTCTGATGTTATCGAGTTTGTGTTAGTGTGCGATGGAACAACAACGCAATTGTGAAATTTGGCGTAATTTGAACCACTTTAACTGTAATTCCAGTGCGACAACGACGTAAGTGTACTTTGTTAAATTTCGTATAAATTAATCTACAATCTAGTTTAGCTTAGTTTTTGCACTGTTTCTTTTCAGCTGTCCCTAGAAACTATCTAATAAAATGAAGGCAATTGTCTAAAATTATTTTGTTTTCGTTTCCTTTTTGTCCGAATTTGTTACTTTGATTTACAATTTTAGCAAAACAATGACGGATTTGCAAAATAAAGTGATGTGGGGGTAAGGCGTAAATTTTAACTAAAAAAAATATTTTGAACTTCATCGTGAGTCATATTGTAATCATTTACCCGAATCCCAACTCCATACGTTAATTAAAGTTTGAATTATGGAGTTATTAAAAAATAAATTTAAGTTTTTTGCGTTTCCTGAACAATTATCATTTTGGCAGTTACGTCATTGTTCTTCTGAAACAGCGAAATCATCAGGTCTACAGGGTTGCCATAATTTTGTCAAAACCAACTGGTAGCCATTTTGTTTGGAATGTCTAATTTGAATTTTATAAACAAACTGTTATTCAATTTTTCATTCAATATTAATAAACCAATCAGTTATTTTTAGAGATTATTGGTGGGGCTTAATTATTTTCTGTTGTTAAGTACAAATTCATTTACTGTAACTCGTAAAAGTTAATGAATTATTTATTTCAGGTAATGTTTACTCACGAACAAAATTCTTTTATTTTAATGGCTTATTTTCGAAGTGGAAGTCAAAATGCTGTTAGAACCTGGTTACATTTAATTCGTAGGTGACAATTTGAGGAACGTTTTTCAGGAGAATACATAGAATATAATACTTTTTGTCGGTGTACACAAATACTTGTTCAAAATTTTGAAAAGGAAAGAGCTCTAGAAAGTGCAGAGTAATAACAAAAGCTAAAGATGTGCAAATTCACATAGTGCAATGTCCCAATAACACCTTAAATAGGTATGAACATTGTTTCGAAGACAGACTCTGACAAGTGATATCCTAAAAATTATTGTTTTATGTTTGTCGCTATGAATTATCCACAAAGTATTGCAAAAATATCTGGCAAAGCATCCCTTATATAATTTAGATACAGCAATAATTGTTTTACCTTAATTTTGTTAAACGTATGGAATATTGCAGATGATACAATTCAAAATCATTTGGGTGATGTTTATGAACTGTAGCAGCTATATTATATCTATCTATTTGAAATAGGGCGAGGTTCAAAGACCACTTAAACTAAAGCTCTAGACTTACTGTACCACTCACAGTTTCTATGCCATTTGGTTAATATTCTTGATTAATTCAAGAATATGCCTTTTGTGATCGTGCTGACAGACGTACAGTTCATGTCTGGAGACAAAGAAATTCAAGAGTTAATGACCAATATGTTCAAGAAGTGCATCCATTTAGAGGTGGAGGTGTAATGGTCTGGGGTGGAATTTTCTACGGAGGTCGAACGGAGTTGTATGTTTGTGAAGGTACCATGACAGGTGAAATTTATTCCCACGACATCATTGATAACCTGGTGAATGATTATCGCTGGAATTTGGAGCCCAATTTCAGATTTCTGGATGATAACGCTCGCCCGCACAGAGACAGGGTAGTACAAGAACGGCTAGCATTCCATGAAATCAATCATTTGTCATTGCCCCGCTCTTTCCTGATTGATGAATTCAAGAATATGCCTGATGGATGCTTTCGCGATTACTTTAGGTTCCGAAAATCTTACTCCGAAGTGCCATTCCCTTATCTTCACATATTCTACAGATATCCCTAGCAGATTAAGGTGTCTTCTAAGGCCGCAGTGTCCCGTAAAGAGTCCTATTATGGCCTTTAGTTCGCGTCTGCTAAGGTTTAGCAGTTGATTTTATCTGCTCTTGGATAGACCAGAGCCTATGGTGTTATCTATTTATCTCTTCCGTTAGCACCCATTTAACATGTTGATATGAAATATGACATGTGGGTTCTAGTACGAATAGAGTTTTCTCAGCTCTTTTCATTCCTAGGAAACAACAGTTCCAAATTTACCATTTACTACAATGCCTATGTCGTCTGCAAATGCTTTTGTGCATAGGTTTTCTCTTTCTAACTCCCATAAGAAGTCATCAACTATCAAGATCTATATGAGTGGAGATTAGACTCCTCCCAGCGTGATACCCTTGTTAACTCAGACTTCTCTTGTGTTAAAGAGATTACTTGTGATGGTTCTATGATTAAACATGAACTCAAACTACTGCGTAATGCAGTGTGCTACGCCATGTCTATGCATATTTCTCAGTATTAAATTATACGAGGCCGAATCATAGGTCCCTTCTATTTATAAGAAAACTCCTAGTGTTATTTTTTTGCTTTCCAATGCCTGTTCAGCCTTTTATGTATGGCTGCATCGCAAGACTTTCCAGATTGGTGGGCAAACTGGTTATCCCGTATATATCTAGGCTGATTAGTCGGAAAGATATGGTTTTCAGGTAAGACGCTTTCCCAAGTTTGGGAACGAAGACAACTATTGCAGACCTCCAACTTTGTAGAATATATCCGAGGGCTATGGTAGCTGGGAATAGTTTACACAGTAGACCTTCCAGTACTTACTGCCCCTTTTTTAGAAGTGCCTGGATTATACCATCAGATCCAGCTGTCTTGTATTGTTGAAAGACATTTATTGCCCATAAAGTTTTGTTCTGTTTACTATTGTGTTTGCAAGAGACCAGTTTGTTTTTGAGGCCCTAGGAATTAGTGCCTCAATACTCCTGTTCTTCAGTAATAATGCTAAAGTCTCCTTGTTGATTTTTTAGAAATCCCATGCATCTTTGCTTATCTCTTTGTTTTCCTAAGTCTAGTCTTTGGCTTTCCTAATGGCATAACCATATTCTTTCCGTTACACCTTTACTGTAATTTCACAGCAGGTAAAATATTGTTCTATATTTTATTATACTTTAAAGTAGATGTCTCTATGTAAAGTTACCATCTCTCAGGAAATTTTAATAGGTTATTTTCTACCACAGTAGATACTTAAACTGCAATAATTGCCATATTATACTTCTCTATCACAAAAAGATAATAATGTAAAGCACTTCCAATTAATAATAAGATTTTTTGTTGTTATTCTAACGGTTAACTGTATTTTGTTCTCATGGTTGCAGACCATAAAAAAAAGATATGTTTTA